TTCAGTATTTGCACTTTTATACTTTATGTTTAACTCATGCCTTAGAATCTAGGTAAAGCAACAAAGTTAGATAGAGAATATCACTTACTTGATCATGGAACATCCTTAGCCAAGTGGAGTATCTTATCATAATGGATCATCCTCTTCAAGAAAACCATATGTGCTTGTCTTGGTTTATGGAGCATCCTTGTATATTGTGAAGAAGCTTATGATCAAAAGCTTTAAAGAACCATCTTGAATCAACTTCATGCTCTTGAACCAACATAGAATAACTTCAGGTATATGGACCATATTCAGAGAAACAACATCCAACTTGGATCATCTTGGACCATCTTGTACCATCTCCTCATCTTTGGGCCAACTGGACGAATGAATCAAGCATCTTCATTCATCTTGATCATCTTGAGGCATGTTAGACCATCTTTATCAACTTGATCATCTTAATGTTGGGTTTTGATCATTCTAACACTCGTAAGTGTACATGCAACCCTAAATACCTTGGATTTATGTTTTCTCTATTATACATGCAAATAAGAACTTCCAAGGTATTATCCTAATCTAGCATACAAAACAATGACTCTTGCAAGATAGATTACTACCTCATTGATGTAGAAAGTATTCATGAAGCTTCAGTGCCTAGTGCCCCAAGTGTGACACCTCAAATGGTTCACACAACACCAAATGCATTTGGAATAACTTGAGAGAATTCTACACTCATGAAAATTGGCTAGCCCTTTTCTTACTCTCTCTAGTGCCTGATTTTGGTCAAGAATAAGATGCTTATATAGTTAGGGTTACACCATTTAACCCTAATTGACATGGCCTTTCATTTCCATGATCCATGCGTATAAAAACACCATGGAGCATCATATGGGTTTTAGCCCAACTAGATAATCCATGGAGCATTAGCCCACTATATAAGTATGGATGACTTGTACAATCAACCCATATATTTAATTAGTCTTCTTTTGATCACTTAATTAATCCTAGATTAATTCTTGATCAATACTAATTAAATAATCTTATTATTCTTATTATTAATATACTAGAACTTTTAATATATTAATAACCATAAGTGTCTTATTTCTCTCATTATAGTCTATCCAAGTGCATGATGCCATGCAACCCAAATGGACCATTCCGGGTTGGGTCAAGTCTTACCAATTATAGTTATGGACTTAGACATTAATCCAACACTTAAGACCATCTTGGACCATCTTCATCATCTTGATCAAATGGAAGTATCTTGGAGCAATTTCATTAACTTGAAGGATCTTGATCACTTGGACCGGCTTGGAGCTTCTTCAGTCACTTAGAGCATGTTCAAGAACAATGAAGCATGTTCAAGAACATTAAAGCATGATCAAGAACATTGGAACATGTTCAACAACATTAGATCATGATCAAGAACATTGGCAAATGATCAACAACTTGAGGCATCTTCAGCCACTTGATGCATCACGCCCATGTAGCTCATTAGGTCAACATAAAGCATAATCAATGTGCCATGCACATTTTGAAAAGGCTATACACATTTTTTTAATCAGCCATGCACGTTTTAAGTGAGTAATGAACGTTTCAAGTGAGCCATGCACGTTTCATGTAGGCCATGCACATCACAAGTAGGCCATGTGCGTGTCAAGTAGGACATGCACATTTCAGGTAGGTCTTTTCTTAGGTGACATTCATGTCTTAAAGATAACATCCATGCATGTACCACCTTTTCTTTCTTGAATCTCAAGGCATCATTCTCGCGCTCGCAAATCAAGTTGAAATTCTCCTATTTGTACTTGAGTACCATCCAAACCTTATGGGCCCACAAGTTGGCCCATGCAAGCTCTATTTCAGCCAATTGAGAAACCCTAGAAACATTCTCCTATAAATACCTCACTTCTACTTCTCATTCTTGCTTTTTCAATCTCTCAGAAATTCTTACTCTCATACTCACTTGGAGCAAAAAGGCTTCGTGAGCAACATTCGCGTAAGCAATTGAGAACTTCAATTGGTGAGCAACAACCAACCTTGGCACAACAATAAATTGGGCTCAAAAACCCTATTTTCGAAAATCATCTCTTGAGCTACAAGTTTTTTTTTCAAAACCCAAGTTTGGCTCAACAACCACTCTATTTTTGGAAAATCACCTCTTGAGCAACAAGTCTTTTTTCTAAACCCTAGTTTGGCTTAACAATCCTAGTTTGGCTCAACAACCACTCTATTTTCGAAAATCACCTCATGAGCCACAAGTTTTTTTTTTTCAAAACCCTAGTTTGGCTCAACAACCAATCCAATTTTGAAAATCATCTCTTGAGCAATTTTGTTTTTTTTTTTTCAAAACCCTAGTTTGGCTCAACAACAGCCCTATTTTCAAAAATCATCTCTAGAGCCACAAGTTTTTTTTTTCAAAACCCTAATTCGGTTCGATAACTTTCCTATTTTTGAAAACTCCTCTTGATTCACAAGTTTTCTTTTAAACCCTAGTTTGGCTGAACAACCTACTCAATTTTCGAATACTCTTCTTCAGCCATAAGTTTTTTTCTCAAACCAGAATTGTAATCAGCAAGGATTTTGAGTACCCTCTTGAGCCATCAATAAAAACGAAACCCTACTTGTGCCCTCTTGAGCCATCGATATTCCTCTTCGGCTATTTATAATTTCGTAACCCTTCTCGATCATGAACAACCCTCTCTTGATCATCAAGTAATTTCGAAACCCTACTTGTGCCACACCCTAATTTCGAAACCCTACTTGTGCCACACCCTAATGTTGTAACTCCTATTGATCCACAAAACCTAAATGCACCTTTTCCTTATTGAGCCACAATTAACTTCGTGATCAAGCAAAAAAACCGCATACACTCTTTTGCCTTCCCTTCTTACCTCATCAACAGACTCCTCTTGACCGTCACAACCTTTTTTTCGTGATCACCAAGTCAAACTGAAACACTAGTTGTGATCAACCTTCTTGCGCTACTTTCCTCTTCTTTTTGAGCCATACTCTTGACCTTTTTCTCTTGTGCATCACTTAAACTTCAAAACCCTAGACGTGTCTTATATATACTTATGGCACCACCCTCTTGATCATCAATAAGATTTCATGATCACCAACAAAAGCATTCATCACTCTTGAGCCACAACCCTCTTGATCATCAACAAGATTTCGTGATCACCAACAAGAACATTCACCACACTTGGTAATCCACCATCTTGATCATCAACAAAAACAAGATTTCATGATCACCTCTTGATCCACACTTAAGTTTTGATTAGCTGCTTGATCCATATTCAAATTTTGAAACCCTTCTTGATCCACCTTAAAGTTTCGATCACGTACTTGATCCAAATTAAACTTTCGAAACCCTACTTGATCAAGACTAAAATTTCAAAAACCTAGTGAGGATCAAAGTCTTGGAGCACTATCAATTGATCTCATTATCACCTCTTGAGCCACTCACAAACCCTAGGTTAGCATTTTTTTCAAAAACCCTAATTCACATTTTTTTAACCCTAGATCATTTTTTTAATTTTGTATAAGCCTTAGTTTTCTTTTCTTTTGGATCATCATCAACTACTTGTTGGAGAATCATCATTCAACCTCTCTTATGTGGATCATCTCTGAAATCTAAGTAAGCATCATAATTCTTTTGTGAAATCCTAGTTGTCACAAGTCAACCTCATGAGCATTATCATATGCTACATGTGTATTCTTTTTCTTTATACATCATAGTCAAATTAGCATTTTATGTTGAGCATCACATTCCTTGATCAGTCTAGGTAAGTGTTCATTGTTTATCTTTACACTCTATGATGATCATGATGTACACTTTCTAAAGTTTTATTTTCTCTTTACATAACATAGATTTGAATATTTCATGTGTCATTTGTGTTGACTTATCTCTGTATTGCTCATTGATTCAACAAGACATCAATTGGTAAGTAACATCTCTCTTACATTTTCACATATCCTCATATAATAAGGTTACCTATCCTTAGTTGATGATTCATTTCTATACATATGTTCCTATGATCAGCTTCCCCTAGTATTGGCCTGTCACTTATTTTAAGTGAACATCTCTTCTTGTTGAAATCATTTTGGGTGAGCATTTTCTTTTATTATTATTTCATTTTATTGCAATTTTTTTATATTTATTTTTTTATTTCTTCTTGATCATTAATTCCTCTTCAAATACCTTGCTTAGGTTATTTAGTGTTGATTCTTTGATGAAATCTTTCCTATGAGCATTATACTTATTGGTGCATATCTTGCTTTTCACACTCACAACTCTATTACTTCACCTATCTTCTTTAAGGTCATGGCTCTTCTCTTACTCTTATGTGATCTTCAATTTCATCTCTTTATATGTTATTTTAGGATCACCAATTTTTTTTGTTTTTCAACCTTATCTAAATCCATTCACAATTCTATGTATTCTTGGATTTTACATTAATTGTTGTCAGTTGTTGTCTCTATGGTACCTAATTTTCTGTTAGTTTCTAAACACATCTTTATTTGTTATGGCATAGTCATCATAGGCCATGGCTTAGCAATTTTACTTGATCCTTGCACTTTTGCTATATTTTAGTAACATCAATTGTTTTTTGTGTTGTTGTTTTATATGACATCAATTTCTTTCTTTTTCTACTCCAACTTGTCATGTAATTAACCTTCTGGCCTATACTTAGTGAAAATGAATTTGTGGATTCCTCTTGTCCATAGTTGAATCAACAACACTAATTAATTCACAACCTTGTTTAGTTAGTGCCAATTCACACCCCCACCCCTTTTTTTGGAATTTAGTTAAGATTATGTGCTACAACTTTGTAGGCATATTTCTTTAACTAACAAACCATTTCAATTTTTTCTATGTTCTTCTTGTATTCTCTTAAGACATGGCTTCCGAAGAAGATAGATAGACTTCTAAAGCAAAGTCTTCTCATAAGGCTTCACACTCTCACGCAACTGGACTTTCAACTGAGAAACATTCATCATCACCTAAAATTAAAATGGCTGCATCCAACTATACTGCACTTCTCAACACTCAAGACCAACCCAAAGAAATCGGTGTTATAGTTAAATATCTGAAAAAATTCCCATTGGCATATGCAGTTCTTTCTAGTTCTTTAACTCTACAATCTCTTATCTCAAAAGTCTTTCAATCAACAGTCATCTCCACAAGAGCAAGGTCTAAACAACTTGATGTTGAATTTGATCTTTTTCAAGCTGCCTTGGTTCTAAACAAAGAAGAGTTTGCAGTCACATTAGGTCTAAGTGAATTTTCTCCTAAACGTCATACATTTTTCACACCAACTTCTGCTCAATTGTTGATAACGTTCAAGGAAACGGGGTATAAATTTGAAGATGAAAAAAACCATGCCTTTCAAGAATTCGAAAATCTTGTCTTCCCACACCATGGCACTTTCTCAGTTCCGTCCTCACTAGATGTCACTTCGGATCAGTTGGTGATGCAGTCGTTGTAAAAAAAACATTTGGATTCTTATGTACAGTCTCTTTGACGACATCAATGTTGACTACACGTCTATTCTTTAGGAAGATTCCCTCAATTTTCTCCCTGCTTCAAAGAATAAGTTTTTGATTCATCATCCTCGCTGGTGGTCTATCATTATTTATGATGCCATCCATAATAGTACTCTTGCACCAGGATGGTTTCCAGAAGGCCCACAACCACATTTCTTGTGTATGACACCATCTCGGATTCGTACGACATCTAAATCTGGGTCTTCACAACCAGTCATCCTTCCAGATTCTATACTTACAAAGTTGGATGAAAACGGTGCTTCTCTATGCTCATATCAAAAATACATCGAGGGAATTATTTCACCTCCTAAAAAGAAGAGGAAGCATTCCTATCATGCATCTAAGAAGTCGGCAAAGAAGAAAATGAAATCCAAATCAAATGAACTGCCCCTATCCCATATATCTTCCTAAATCTGGTACAACATCTAAGTCGTTCTCCTTCTTAGATTACTTATTTCAATCTCCATCTGATTACGATGAACCATCCTTTTCAGGTCCAGTTTCACTAGCACGCGCTCAGTCGGTTTTAGAAGGTCCAAGCCATCGTGTCTCCTTGGATTATGACTCACTTGGGGACGATAACCAAGATAATGATAAACAATCCAAACCTAAAACTTTTCCTCAAGGTTCTCATGTATAAGATAATCATGATGAGGTTACTCCAATGCAGATGGTAGATGTCCCCTCAAGTGAAGGACTAATAGTCGATGATGAGACAAATGACATGTCCATTATCCTTTACTCCAACGCATCTACCATGACATTCAACATTGATCTTGATGACTAATATCCTCCAAATCTCTCCTCCTTTCAGCAAGATCCTCTTTCGGACGACAGTACTCCTAAAGAAACAGATGAAGTCGATACCATATAAGCAGATCCTGAGCGCATCAGACTTACTGCCCAAATGGTAGTTGTTGGTGTTGTAGAGATTCGCTCTCACACGTCTTCGCACTCTGCATATCTGCAGAAATTTCAAGAATATCGTGAACGTATGAAAGAAAATACGTGTATCCACAATGAGAAACCAGAAGCGCGGGTCAAAACACTTCAAGTCACTATTGAAGATTTTGAAGGCACAACTGTTTGTGTCAAAGGACAAGTTGTTCACAACATACAGAGGATTGAAACTCTAGATCAGAAAATTCATAACACTATTGAAGCCTATCTCTCGCTGATGAATAAGAAGATAGACAACTTCATTTAGTCCTTATCCAATCTAGAGTCCATGTATGAAGCCAAATTGGATCATATGCAAAATCATGTTACTGATCAAGACCCCTATATCTCCACTCCTGAGAAGTACATTCATGAATTATCTAAAGCTTCTGCATCATCCTCCACCTTTCCCTTTCAGGCATCCAGTGAGCAAGTTCAACATTAATTGGATTCGTTAAGCTCTGATATAGCAAATCTATCCAAATCTAATTCAGAGAAAAACAATAGCTCATCAGGTGACATATCTTCCCTTCAGAAGACTGTTTAGTTACTAGTCGATGAAGTCAAGGCTATCAAGAAACAATCTTGCTCTTCATATCTATGTGCTCTTCAACAAAAGGTTGCATTAACTAATTCCAAACTTGAATTGATCTTCACAAAGCTATTTGGTTCAAATGAGCAACCACCTGAACCAGAGGGGGAAAAGGTCCACAAGACCAGATCAACTCAGTCTCCTATCGTACACCAATTTCCATACTCACCAAATGAGTTTGAGAAAAGGATAAATGAGAAAATAGAGTCACTTGACAAAATGGTTGTTGATGCATGAGTAAAGGCTCAACAAAATAGAGAAAAGATATATAAGAAAGAAAAGGAACTTGTTCGTCGATAAGGGATCAAAGATCAATCTCTAAAAGTTCCAAGATGGAAATATGTTTACTTCTCCAAACCTATCACCGTATCAGAACCAATGACTCAGCCAAAGCTTCGTCAAACTAATCCCAAGGATAAGGGAAAACATAACATTATCTTCAAGTCTAAGAAGGAATTAGCTAAAGAAGCTCAAATGGAGATACATGAAGAATTAGCTAAGCAACTGAAGGCTATGGAATTAAAGTCTAAACAAGAGGTGATTCTCAAAAGGAAATCTTTAAAGATCTCAACTGAAGATAGGAGTACATGGCATGATGAACAATTTAGAGTGTCTTCACCTTAAAGAACCATCTTATTTAACCCTGATAGATATTCCTATCAAAAGGTAAAGGTCATAAAGCCCACCAATTCCTTCACACCTCCTTCAGACCTAACTAAAGAAAACTGGGATATTCTTGCACCCCTAAAAGGTATGAAGTTCAATTTATGGCCAAGTGCAATTTATCCAGTTGAGGTTGATATAGATATTGAAGAGCTAAATAAAAGATTCTTTCTGAAGAAATCAATTCAAGTTGTCCCTGTAAGGTCAAAGATCAAGATTTCTTCAATTATAAAAATTAATATACGATAATTTAGAAAGATGCCATATGCATTCTTTTAAGGAAAAAGGATAGACAACTCTGAATTCATGTTTTTTGAAGCTGATTTCCTTAAAATAAACCAAGCTAATATCATATCACTTATCATTTGGTTGAAACATAGGGTGAGTACAAATATTCTACAACACCTAAGGATATATATGATCGACATGGTTATTGAAATCAGTGTTGCCTGGGAACATTCTAAAGAAACCACATAGAGGTGTTGTATTCTCTTCAAAAGGTCGACTGGAACTCTTGAATTCATTAAGGGAATCATTGGTTTATTAAAGAGAACATGAGATCAAGATGAATCACTGAGAGTGAAGAACATTGAAGAATTTATGTGGTTTTTGAGTTTTCGGAAATGGTTAATAAACTTGAGAAACAAAGTTTAGATTTTTTTTTGTTTTGTTTTTTCAAACATATGGATGATGTTTTTGCTACTGGTAATTTATCTTCTTGTTAAAATTCATCTTTCATGTTATTACTTCTATTTCTTCTTTTATTTTTACTCTTTATTTTAGTAACATCACATAGGGGAAACTGTTGGAAAATATTTGTATGTGATTATCACTTGAAATAAGTTGAGTCCTTTTATATATCTCTTTAACAAACATTATCAGAATGTCTTAGGTTGGAAATCTATTGAAGATTCAACAGGTGTTTGAAGAATCAGATGTTTGAGCACTTGAAGCTTATTTGGAGCACCCGCTGTTAACATGGAGAACTTGCTGAAAGCTAGTTGGATCATCATGAAGTCATATGGCACATCTAGATCATATATGGAGCATCAAGAGTTGATGGCTAACCAGGAATACTTGGTGGCTTAACTCAAGTCAATGGATCAACATGATCACATTGATGGCTCAACAAGAGTGCACATGACACATCATGTACAATGAAGGCACGTCCAAATGCTTAAAGGAACATGAATTTCGTCCATGGTCTATCATGAACATGTGGTGATACATCTTCAAGTTCAAGACACATTCCAACATTCAGGAAACAACTCAAGTTGATCAACAACACTTTTGGAAGTTGATGACATCTAAAAAGACAATTGAGCAACATGATGCTCATGTTGCTCATCTCATTTTCAATGTTGATCAAGAAGGTTCAAGAATTATGAAGACTCATAACTTGGATAGAACCCTAACAGAATACTAACGTAATTGGAATATTCCATCCATTCTCCATTAAGTAGGGCAAATGTGTCAACTGATGACTAAGTCATGATGACATGTCAACGCCTGATTGGTCAAGCCATGTCATGGGCTTTTCGAAAGCCTATAAATAGGCCCCTTGGGACCCATTATAAAGTAGCTATTTTTTTTATCATTCCTGCTCATTTTGCACAATTGCTGCTTAAACTAGTCTTCAGAGAGCCATTTGAGAGTTTTAGTGTGTTTACATTCAAACACTTGTAAGTGAATCTTCATGAATATGAGAAAGATTTGAATCATTGGTCTTGAACATTAAAAAATGTTTTTATCGTTAACTTGGTGATTCACAACTTTTTATTTTCCGCACTACTTGCCACTTGAAAATTCTAAAACTATGTTTAAGTATTTTCAACACTTGGACTATTCTAGTCTAGGTTTACTAAACTTTTCTCATTTCTTCACCCTTCAGTATATCGTACATCCAGACCTGCAACAATCAATCATCTCCACAGGCAATCCTAGTGCTAGTATTAACTTATTTTCTCACGTATAAACTACCTACCATATTATTCTCCTCCAATAACACCTCATTTATCAATTGGCAGATAGCATCATAACTTTATTCAGCTATGCAATACTCTGATTTTATATTCAATAGTGTAGCTACAGCATATAGTTGTGTGACGTTTTACATCCAGACCACAACTCTTTATCAGTTGCCTCTAGTATATCAAATAATTTTTTATCTACTGCATTGCATCTATGACCATTTCTCTATAAGTACATTCATGTTCATTCAAAGTTGTGTTTGAATCATCCACCCATAAAGACGTATTGTCATCATCAATGGATGCTTCACCATTTTTATCCTAAAATCAATATTCCTTAACAAAACCTGACTTGTACGAATGATTCTTAACAGTATCAGGGTCTCTATATTGTACATTACGACATTTGATGCATGCAAATTTGATTTTATTTTCGTCCATGAACCTTTGTTGATTGGTAGCAAAGTTTATGAGTTTTTTCACCCCTTGTAAGAAAACAGACGATACATAAACGCGATAATCTTTTCTTTCATACATACACATTCTATTGGTATTTTTCAAGATGTTAAATCCATAAAATATACATTTAAATAATAGAATATTATGTTCATTAATATGGCTTCGAATTGATATATGAGATTTGAAGTAGATATATGTGTATAATATAAATACTGCAAGGTACCTTTACTACAAATCGTTTCTCAAAAATAATGACCAATTGATGAAAAATCTTCAAAGTTTCATCATTTATATGGATGAATCACTTTTATGATATGATAATGGCATAGAATATTTGTTGTTGAGAGAATAACTTAATGAAAGTTAATAACGAGATAATATATTGTGGAATAGAATTTAATCTCAATGGATCTTTATTAGCTCAACAATAAAAGTTAGATTTTGGGAAAGTAAGGAATATAAATAGTAGTAGGTTATATCAATAAGCATAAACAAGTAGACACTTAGTTGAATCGTAACATGGTTTGTATGCAAACACAAGTTAGTAAACTATGAACAACATAGTGAAGAGGGACTCGGATAAAGTATCAAACATATAACTTTTGTTAGGTCATATTTTGTTGGTTTGGGCTAGGCATCCATCTGTATAGGTCTTTTTAGTCTTTCTTTGGGTATTTATAGTGTTTATGGTTGGGTGAACCGAAAACAAGATGTTTTCGGTTCAGTTGGTGTTTGCAGCTGCAATCTGTTTGTGACTGTGAACTATTTACGGTTGACTGTTACCTATGTATGTATGTATATATATATATATATATATATATATATATATGTGTGTGTGTGTATGTGTGTGTGTGTATGTTAGTCTTGTCAAAATAGAAAAACGGTTGTATGTGTGTGTTCCACTATACCCGACATTTGTAGTTGAATATAAATGTGTGCAATTTGGATCATTCTTGCTTCTACTCCTTCTTGTTCTCATTGATTATAGCTTGTTCTTATGTTTGATCACTAGTTGGTTCTAGATTTGGGGAATTACAATTGGTATCAGAGCCATACTACTGTCAAAACTATTCAAGTTGTGTTTTCGGTTGGAGGATTCTTCATTTTCGTGATTGTTCAAGCGTGGTTACTAGGTTTCTACTGTTGATTGTGATTTCAAGGCCAAAGGGATTGATGATCTGCTTGAAATCAGCTGTTATCATCAAATTTTGGGTGTTTTCGCCTACAAACTGTTGATCAGTTTTCGACTGTAAACTTGTTTTGGTCATAAACGTATTGTGTTTTCAGCTGTAAATTGTTTTTGACTGCAAATGTGTTGTGTTTAAGGCTTATGTTGTGTTTTCGGCTGCAAACCGTAAACTTCTTGACCGTAAACTATTCTCAATCTCAAACCTGTGTACGACCATAAACTGTTTTCGGCCGTAAACCATCCTTGGCTGTATTTCTTAATTTTCGATTGTGAACCCTTTCTGTTTTTGGTTGTGCTTTCTTTACAAGTGTAACATCCCGGAATCGCAAGAGTAGAGTTGAAGGGCTGAAAGTGTAAGTTTTAGAGGATGACTCGGCGAGTCAGGTCGCGGTCATGGTCGCGTGTCAAGTGGCCTACTCGGCGAGTCCCTAGATGGACTCGGCGAGTAGGTGCTGTATGGAGAAAACCCTAATTTTCGGGGTTGAGCCCTATATAAAGAGCATTATACTCCTCCACAGCCTCCCTTATTCCTCCCTTGAGTTCCAGAAACCCTAAATTCATGGAGAGATCATTTGTGGAGCAAATTAGATCTTGGAGAGGTGTTGTTTGAAGAGATCTTGAAGGAGAAGTGGCTTGGATCAAAGGGCTTTGCTTGGATTCGAGTTTGGCTGCTATTGAGGCATCTTTTGGAGGTAATATCTTCGTCCTTAGGCTGTGCATTCCTAGTTTCATCATTTTGGGGTTTGTGGGGAGTATGTCTTGGAATGTTTTGGAGTTTGGAGGATAGATCTGAGGTTGCTACCTCAGATCTGGAATATTGAAGGCCTAGAGTGCATTAAAGTTCCTGTGTTTGAGTGCTTAGTGAAGCCACCATGTCCCAAACCTTGGTTTTAAGGTGAATATGGCTTAGATCTCGTTAGATTCACGTAAAGTTTGCCACTTTACGTGATGGATGGATTGTAGGAGGTTGGATCTATGTTTTGGATCAATTGCATGGCCTGAGATGCTTCTGTATGGATTCAGAAGGTGGTACTCGACGAGTCACATGGGTGGACTCGACGAGTTGCTTGAAGATGGCCTGGGACTCGACGAGTTGGAAGAACAACTCGGCGAGTAGGTTGAAGATGGCCTTGGACTCGACGAGTCCATTTGGACTCGGCGAGTCTTGTCGAGGAAGTCCCAATATTTCTGGTTGAGTCGATGAATCGGTGAGTCAAGGGATGACTCGGTGAGTTGGGTGCGAGTGGACTCAGAGTTGTTGGACTCGACGAGTCTTGGGGTGACTCGGCGAGTTGGGTCGCTAATTGAGGGAAGTTCTGAGCATAAGGACTCGGCGAGTCATCGGGATGACTCGGCGAGTAGGGTCAGTCAGGGGTTGACTTTGACTCGTCCAAGGTTGACCAGTTGTCTTCCAGGGGTATTTTGGTAATTAAGGGTATTTATTGAGTTGTATGTTTTGATGTTTAGTGGAGGAGTTCGTGCCAGAGTTCGGAGCAGCGGGATCTTATCTTTTCAGCCGGCAGTTTCGAGGTGAGTTATCCTCACTATATCAACAGGGTCTAAGGCACCAAGGCCGGCCCTTTATTGTATTGAGATTCGGTTATGGTTATTATGTTATTGTTTGATGTGTC